CTCAACGTGCCACGCTCGCATGTAACCTGCATATAAGGGTCCACGTGCACACGGCCGCGTGCACAGTAACTGCTGGAGGTACTTGAACATGTAGAATGACAGCGTTCTATAAATACAGGAGTAGATAATAGGGAATCTCCCTATTATCTACTCCTGATAAATATGCAATGTTAATTTCTTGCGTTGTGGAATATTAGGAGGTCATCATTTGTAATCTCGCAAATTGTAAAAAATATGCTATATTCGTTTTTATTTCTAGCTTCTATTGAATCAGCTCATCAGACAATCCCAGGAGATCGATTCCACTCGTGAATCAAGTCGTTACAATGGATATGGAACTGGACTGGCTCAACATAGCATTAGAGGATGTGCTGCCAACCTGCTTGACTGCTTAGAGAACCCCACTTCAACAACCTGTGTAGCTGGTGTCTGTGCTCCGCGCAATAGACCCTGCAACAAAAACTATGCAATAAACTGCACAATCCGCACGGCCGTTCTTGGTCACGTGACAGCTCCATACATCCCGTTTTAGCTCTGTAAATGTAGTCCTTCGATCAGGCAGTCGGGCCCGTTGTCAGAAACGAAATTAGCATTAACATTAGCATCAACTTCACACTGTTTCTGGCAATGGCCCCCAAAATGCCATGTTTCTACATTCGACCCAGAAACTAAGAGTTGTCTGCAATTGTTGCAGGACCCTCAGCAGAAGTCCTAGCTGGCTTCCACATATTAACCTCTGTATAGCACATTCAGTTATATATGGAAGAAAGAGTTAAGTGATGTGTGTATTTATATCAATTATTATATCTATAATAATATAATAATTGGTAATATGTATGTATGTATGTATGTATGCATGCATGCATGCATGCCATGCATGCATGCATGCATGTATCGTATGTATGTATGTATGTATGTATGTATGTATGTATGTATGTATGTATGTATTATGTATGTATGTATATATATTATATTATATATATACATACATATATACAAGTAATATATATATATATATATATATATATATACATTAGGCTCGTTTGATTTAGTGATATATATATTTATTTATTTATTTATTTATTTAATAATTTATTTATTATTCAACTATTGATTTATGTGTAATGAATTAAGTCTATTGCACCGACAGAAGCTGTAAATGTAATGCATAGTCCAGTCTAATACCGATGTTATCTTATTGTTTTACAATGTTGTGTACCGCATCCTTGCTTGCTTTCGTAACCTCTCGTGGATAATAAAAAAATAATGCCGTGTAATATAATGTTAGGAATCTGTCTGTATTGACATCCGCGTTGTGGTAGTCGCTGTAAAGCTGGACTTTACCATCAGTGCGTGTCTCTGTGTGCGCGTGCGTGCGTTCGCGTGTTCGCGAGCGTACGTACGTGTGTGTGTGTGTGTGTGCGCGTGCGTGCGTCCGCTTGTTCGCGAGCGTGCGTACGTGTGTGTGTGCATGTGTGCGTACGTGCGTCCGCGTGTGCGCGTGCATGCGTACGTGTGTGCGTGCGAATGTGCGCGTCCTGCGCACCATCACAGTTTCGCATTCATATCCGATTCGTATTTTTAATCGTAAGCAACCAGGGTCGTTATCTGTGATCGAAACAAGTTTACGAGAAGCATACAGTAACAACAGTGTTTTTATCAGAGTTGCTACCATGCAGTAGCTTAAAGAACAGCAGTAATCTCACATCATGGCACACACTGACTCTTCGGTCATTAGCTCCGCGTTGAAAACGGAGCTCATGCAATCGCTCGCGTGTGTGTGTTCGTGTGTGTGTTCGTGTGTGTGTGTAGCCACCGCGCGATCGATAGCGCGTCGAGTCAGCGAGTGGCGAGCGAGTGGCGAGCCAGCAGCAGCCACCAGTGAGCGGCGAATCGATAGCGCGTCGAGTCAGCGAGTGGCGAGCCAGCAGCAGCACCAGTGAGCGGCGAATCGATAGCGCGTCGAGTCAGCGAGTGGCGAGTCAAGCAGCAGCCACCAGTGAGGCGCGAATCGATAGCGCGTCGAGTCAGCGAGTGGCGAGTCAGCAGCAGCCACCAGTGAGCGGCGAGTCAGCAGCAGGCGAGTTAGTCAGCAGCCACCACCAGCGAGCACATACATGTTACATGCTCGCGGAGCTATGCACTCTCCGTGAGTGCCCTCTGTCTAGTTAGTGACATGCTTCTTCGCCGGTGATGCGAATTCTCCACCAATCGGCATAGCTGGCATATATCGTCGATCCCTCTCAACAATTCGTGACCTCGAAGGAATGTCGTATTATATGCTAAATGATATCAACCCGATGACACCATCCTGTCTGTGATTTCGTGAGGGTGGTGAACGACATTTTATTTCCTTGTCCTTCCCGTCACGTCATTGTCTTACGAGACGGTAGAGTGAAACGTGTCTTTACTGATGCCGACGTGTGAAAACTAACAGCGTCTATACGTAGTGTAACGTGTTACGTGTAACCTCGAACACGACACGTCGTGGGAGCGTCTCCACTGCGTCGTACCACACTTCCTCTTCCTCTTCCTCTTCCTTAGCGTCGCCGCTCTCCTCCTTAGCGTCAACTTTCTCTTCGCCGTCGCCAGGCGACGCCACCGTCGCTTGGTTGCTGCGCAGTAACTGGCGCATGAAGTTTCGTCGGCGAGTCAGCGCCGCGAGTGGATTCGTCGGCGGATTCCGTCGGCGGTGTAGGATCGCGTCGGCGATGGCGGCGTTGATGACGTCGACATTCTGTAGCGTGTTAAACTCGGTGAGCTGAGCCAGGCGGTTGAACGACTGTTCGGTGTAGGTGAAGTTGAAGGTCGAGTAGGGCGAGTTTGGATCTTCGAACAGCGAAAAGTCGGCAAAGTCTAGTTCCTCTCTCGTCGTTCTGGGCACGCCTGCGAATAAGGGGGACGGGCGAGTCATTTTGATCTTCTGATGGGATGCTACTCGATTTGTTTTGTTTTATTTGTTATCGATTTATATCATTATCAATTTTTTAAATATGATTTTTTTTGCCCACTCAACGCACCTAATCGAATTTTTTTTAAATTTAATACTGACTCATTCGGGTGTGGGCGGAAGGATGGAACTTTACATAAACTAAACAAATAGCAATACACTAAAGTTTGTCAGTGTAAATATAAGGCAGATGTTTCGCGCACAATCTATTTACTCCCGCAGGGTATGGCTGCTGTCGTTCGTGCGACGAATAGCGATTGTGAATACAGCTAGGAACACGACTAGGCTTGGCGCTATATTTCCATGAAATTGGGAGATACGAAACGCACATCTAGAAACCTAACCGGTTTTGTGATATTGTTTCTGCAATTAACATTGCCTCGGTACTTTAACGATACCGTACGTCATATCTCGCCTTACCTTACACCGTCTTGCTATGCCATGGCAACATTTCGCCTTATAATAATTACAGTGACCAAGAGTAAGATAATTAGGGATTACTATCCCCTATAATGATTCTCCTTCTATGCTATGCTATGTAATGCCCGTTTCTGGCTTTCTGTAGGCGTATTATTATTATTATTATTATTATTATTATTATCATTATTGTTATTATTATTATTTCCAAAGTAGATCGCGGCATTCTGGGTTCCCGGTGTAGGCGTATTATTATTATTATTATTATTATTATTATCATTATTGTTATTATTATTATTTCCAAAGTAGATCACGGCATTCTGGGTTCCCGGTGGCTTCTGGGTTGGCCGTGTCCCAACCTGGGATTCAATCCATAATTTTTCGCAGAATATTATTATTATTATTATTATGCTATGCACACCTGGCTTTTTATATCTGCGGAAGTCGATGTTGACCAGCGGGAAGTGTAGCACGACGGGGCATTCCGGGTTCTTGTCATCCTTGAATACGAACACCGTCTTCATGCCTTCTCTCTCAAACTCGGACGTGTCGATGGGCGGAAACGGTATGCAGTTTTTCAAAGCCCAGATCTCGGCCAATTTCAATTCCTGTTTCAGAGGCAGGGCGTGTAAGAGAAAGCAAGATCGTCAGCATCGACTACTTGTACATCAAGAGATTACACCACGATTTGCGACTTTACTATACTTACGCTCTTCGCCCTATGGCTTACTAAATATAAAATACAAAAGTTTCGCTTTGTAAAGATACCAGGGGATAAATTTTCATGCTCAATTAATATCACTCCTAATGTACTCCCGACAATATATTTATATTTTCAACTGGCCGTCGCTATTTCTGAATCTGAATCTGATACAATAAGTCTCTTGATAGTATAGGTTATAGCTCAATTAATGTTACCTCCAATGTACTCCCGACAATATGTTTATATTTTCAACTGGCCATGGCCACTATTTCTATTTGAATCTGATATTATACTTCTCTTGATAACATAGAGACAAAGCAGCAGCGTGTGAGGTTGTTACCTTGTATGGCTACATGTTTATGTTTTGAACTGGCCGTTCTGAATCTGAATCTGATACTATAATTCTTTAGATAATATAGGGTCATAGCAGCAGCGTGTGAGGTTGTTACCTTGAATGGCTGGCTAGCGTCGGTCTCACGTGCGGAGAAATCAAAGGACAAGTAGAGTCGTACGCCTCGCTGCGGTCTCAGTAGCAGCGGGTAGGGAGAGTTGAACGTCAGGCCACTGTCGACGAGGTAGATGCGCTTCTTCTTTGTCCGCAGCGGTTTGTGAATGTCCTTGAATGGATCTAAAATACGTAGATATGGCATAGGTAGATTAGCGTTATATACGCATATATAGTATATTAGTATATTAGATATATAGTATAGATATAGTATATATTAGATGTGGTATATTAGGTGTAGCTGCATTATAGGTGCCGTGGTTAGGTGTAGCTGTAGTAGGTACCGTGGCGATATAACAATTATGAGGTCTAATGAAATATTATCATTGAATATGAACAACCAATAATCTCTCAATCCGATACGAACGCGTTACACAGATATAGTGCGTCCGTCAGGAGTAGCTTTAGTAGGTAACGCGGCGATATGATAATAATGAGGTTGAATGAAATATTGTCATTGAATATGGACAAACAATAATCTCTCAATACGATACGAACGCGTTACACAGATATAGTGCGTCCGTCAGGAGTAGCTGTAGTAGGTAACGCGGCGATGTAATAGTTATGAGGTCTAATGAAATACTGTCGTCGAATTTCAAGAACCAATAACCGGTAAGTTAGCATAACATAGTTTAGTTTGGTTTGGTTTAGTTTAGTTAAGTTAAGTTTCGTTAAGTTTAGTTTCGTTAAGTTTAGTTTAGTTAAGTTAAGTTAAGTTTAGTTTAGTTTGTCTAGTTTAGTTTAATTTAGTTTAGCTTAGCTCAGCTATGTATAGTATAGTTTAGTTTAATTTCATTTAGTTCAGTTTACTTGTGATACCGGTCGTATCGGCGGAGTCTACTTCGTCCATCGATGAGAAGGGCGATATCGGATAGGTTGTCTCCAGCGACACGCCCCGCATGAAGTTATGCACCATGCCAGCACGGCCTGCCCGGGAACCCACGAAGGGCATGCTTCGACTAGTGAACGCCGACTTTAGAATGTTCTGCCAGCGTCCTCGCCGCTTCAGTTCTCTTCCCTCTTCCCTCTTCCGCTTCGCTTCCTCTCTCTCGGCGCGAGTGCGCGGGATGTCGGCAGCGTCAACGTCGTCCTCGTCACTGCTATCGTCATCGTCGCTGTCGTCGTCACTGTTGTTGATTATTTCCGCCTGATCAGTTTCGTCATCGACATTGCTTCGTGCTGCAAAATGGCAAAGATAAAATGAAAAGAGCCAGTGATAGTAGCACGTTCGCTGTGATAATATCATAAGGAGTAAATCATAATTTGTGATTATTTACTCTTGATAATATGAAGGGGAGACACAAGAGCGATAAGACGAGAGAATACACGAGTATAGAGAGTACATTATCTCTATTCATGTACTCCAGATATTGCGCGCGTTGCCTATGTGCAATATCTCACCTAGTTCCTCCTCTCCGCCTGTGTCGGTAGGAATCAATGACGGCTTGTTTGCCTCGACTAGACGCTTGAATAGGATGCAGAAGGCGCTCCCCCACACACCTACACAGAACACGCACGCAGAACCGCGATATGTAAATCTATAGAAACGGCGTCTAATCAATCTATCAAGTCCAATCAATAAATGTAATCAATCAAATATGTCCGCCGTCGTCGACAGGCGGATCAATCTTCCTCGCTTTTAGGTTAGGATTAATTTTTGTTAGTATTTATTACAATTAAGATGTTTAAGGACGTTTATTAAGATGTTTTAAAGACAGCTATGTGTTGTCGTGATAACGATCATGCCAAATCTGTTGGTTTTCTTACACATGCTTTTGTGTCACATACCGATGAGATAGTGCAGAGGAGATTCGGGAAATCTTTTGACGAGAGACCCGGTGAAGAACATGCTTCCGAACAGCTCCGTTCTCATGAACGTTCCGTACTTCGCCATGCCGACTTCGTATGGACTAAATTCCACCCATTCTGCAGCAATTCATACAATCATCATGTAAACAAGCACGCGCATGTCACCCTGCTCTTGCTATAGTTGGATGTCATTTATTATATATATTTTATTTTATTATATATTATTCATTATATTCGTGTGACGCAGATCATATAAGATAAGCGAAAAAGGCAGACGCCTGTGCGTGGTCCAGTCAAGAACTGATATTTTGTTAGATGAAAAAAAAATCACCTAAAAAATGTCAAAATTAAGAGTACAAATGCAGAGCTAATTTTTATCCCAAAATGCTGGAAATTGCATTTCATGAAGTCTGGTTTTCAAATTTTTTCCGGGGGGGGCATGCCCCCGAACCCCCCTAGTTTGCCTCGTGCCCTGTGGGCACTCCGATGCAAATCACACACCTCGGCGAGCTAAGGTGTGCGATTTTTCACTCGCCTGCCTTTTCCGAAACACAAGGACTGAAACCAGGTTACTGTAACCTTAATTTGACCTTGACCTTGACCTTGACCTTCATCATATTTCCCTTCCGCTCCATAACTCGGCCCCTAATTAACCTAGCGCGACCAAACTTTGTATACTTACACATCTTGGGGAGAACACGGGGGATACATGTAGTTGGCGACAACTGCCCTTTCTAGTTATAAACTGCTTCTGCGTGACAGACGCTGATGACGTGTGACTGTAGCCACTGGCATTTCAAGATACGCCAGCGTCGACTGCTGCTGCGTGACAGTGTAGCTGTCTAGCCACTGGCGTTTCGAGATAGGAGGATGGAGCGTGGTGTCGTATAACTTTACGTGAATAAAACGCAACTGTAGGAAAACAGTTCCTATGGAATGAAATGTACGAAGAGGACGTTGCATCGCGTGATAGTGTCTTGTTGAAATGTTGAGATGAACATTGACTGATTGACTGATTGTCGGTTGAACATGAGAGTTGCGTTTTATTATTATTATGATTGTTGTTGTTGTTGTTGTTGTTGTTGTTGTTGTTGTTGATATTGCTGTTGTTGTTGTTATAATTGGTGTTGTTATTGTTGTGTTGTTGTTGTTACGTACCTTATAATTACATGACAACTGTAACGCCCGCTGGTCGTCTGTGTTTGCGTGTAGTTGCACAACAGTACGGTGGTTGACGTCGCCAACTTGACGCGCTACGGAAGGCTCTACAACAGGGACGTAGACGTCATGCGCACGACCCTCATCAGTCTGAACAACACCGCCGAGCAAATACTCGCCGACATCACGAGCATCGAGCAGGCGGACGACCTGCAAGGTACGCTGCATGTTACCTGCATATAAGGGTCACACGCTGCACGTGCCACGCGCATGTAACCTGCATATAAGGGTCACACGCTGCACGTGCCACGCGCATGTAACCTGCATATAAGGGTCACACGCTGCACGTGCCACGCGCATGTAACCTGCATATAAGGGTCACACGCTGCACGCGCCACGCGCATGTAACCTGCATATAAGGGTCACACGCTGCACGCGCCACGCGCATGTAACCTGCATATAAGGGTCATACGCTGCACGTGCTGCACGCATGTAACCC